GTTACATTTCCGAGTAAGCTGGTAGTGAATCTCTTTTACGAAAAAACAAATTGATTGTGTGTTTTTTTGTTTTTGTTTTTTTATACTGATGTCACATCAGCTGTCATTGTAAATTAAGAACGCAGCCCGTGCTTTCTGCAACGTGTATTTCACAACACCGAATGTGTTTTTCTATCTAAACACAACCGGTTAGATCACGTCAGGTGCACGCAACCCTGATACGCGTTAAGGAGGCGCCAGAAACTTTGCCTCCAGCGCGAGCTTTCTGCCTTCGGTAATACTTCGCGACCTCGTGAGTTCCCCGAGCCAAGGCACGACGGAAGGCAACAAGCGCGTGCTGGAAGCGGAGCTTTCGTCGCATTTTTAACGTGTATCCGACTGTATAGTCGCTGCTTTTTAGATGCAATAAAAAATGTAACTATAAGCTAAACAGGGTAAGCAGGAGGAGTAATTTTTAGCAACGGAGAAATCGTTGCTAAAAACCCCGAACCCCGACCGTTCCTTCCCTCTGCCTAAACCATTGCGGGCTATGGTCGGGGAAATACGCTAAACAAGGCGCATCTGCCGGGCTACTCCCAGAGATTGGAACTGTATCCCCGCTGGGGTCCAATCCAAGAAAAGTCATCTGACCGCTTGAACGGAGCGTGAAAAGAAGTCGTCCGAGGACCTTCATTTCGATAATGGTGGCAACATTGCCTTCCATGATAAAAGAGCTCGCTTAATCCTGTCGTCCCGGTACCAAGAGATAAGCCCCCCCCGTGACACCGTAAGCCAGTGCGGATATCTGTCTTGAAGGTCACGGCCGTTAGAGCCTTATTCCCATGGCGGCATCCTTTGTTGCCTTGCTTTCCCTTCTCATGTGTTCAAACCAGTGTTAGCGTACTAGGACGCGTTTCTTTTCGTAACGTAGGTAGCGTGCTCGTCACATTTTTCGAAGCAGTGGCGGATAATGTACTTAGGTTTCTTATTTCGTGTAACACACAAACCCCCCCCCCCCCCCCAAAAGAAAAAAATGCTGTTGAATTTTTGTTTTTTTTTAGGCGCGAAGTCATACAAATTTTTACGTTTTTCGCGTGTTTCTTCGCGTTTTTTTTTTTTTTATTTTTCTCGTGAGAATTCAGATAGAACCAGAAAATATATAAGGTAATTAATTATTTTAAGTTTTGCGTGGACCTCATGTTTCTTGAAATATGGCGCTTATGCATATACTTGTAACGTCAGAATAGTAAAACGTTTTAATTCCCTAAAAATGTAACGCAAATGTAACGTGTGTTACTTTTTATCGGTAACGTTAATGCGTTCCCTTTATTTTTAGGTAACATGGGTCGGTAACGCGTTACTCTTATTTGCACATAACAAATAACGCGTTTCTTCCTTCTTTTTTTTTCTTCTTTTTTTGTTAGGCATTTAACATTTGGTTTTAACAGCAGTTTAGTTCCGATTTGCTGGCGAGTGCGTGTATCTCTTCCGGCGCTAAAATAGCTGGAAGGGGGGAATTAGAGGTCGCGTGATCGGCTCCGTGGAGAGAAAGTACCTAGCGTTTCAGTAGATTCCGCTCAATAACGTAATCCCTGACGATCGTTTTCCTTTTTCTTTAATTCTCGCTTAGCGTGACCTTCCGCAGAAATAACCTTACGGGCCGCTGCTGAAGTGCACGACTGCGACTCATTTCACTTACATTTCAACTTCAAGCCTGTTCAACCCTTTTCTGTACGCAAAATCGAACATGAATAATCGAAGCGAGGATAAAACATACTGCGGCCATTTGCTTAGAATGCGAGGTACTTTGGGTTTCTTGTACCCACAGAGGTGATCCTAAATTCCTTTTTGCGGGTAAGCTAACCGCTGGGAGATGTGGCTGCATTGATCAGTGCTAACCAGCCCTGCATACTTAACGCAAATTCAATCTCATTCGATGATGAAAACGAGCGTATCCCCCTCGCGGTTGAGATTCGAACTTCAGTGTGAATCCAGCAGGGGAGTAACAAAATTGCGATGCATCTAATTGTGTTTTAACATCTAAAACCTCTGATATCTGGTGTCTTAAAAAGGCTCACGCACACTCTCTCTTTACGTTAATATGTTTTACATTAACCTTTGGGGGCGCATTTAACGGGAGGGGGCTGAATTCAAGGAAGATGGCGCCCAAAAATGCCATGTTCCCGATTTCTTCTCAACCCTCATATAAAAGGTGACATAGAATCGCAGTGGAGATTATCGTCACGGACAATGGGAGAGCGGCTGGGACTTTCAACAATGCTTCGCCGTCTCGTGCAGTTAGAGTGCGCCGTTAAAGCACGACGGAAGGCGTGGAGCACGTGCTGGATGCCGGTCTTTCAAAAGACATATACCTTGCCATTCTAATTCCGTCAGTAACTATAGAGACTGACAGATAATTTATATATATATATATAAGCGACGCGAACAGACTATACAGGACGGACAAAAAGCTCATCTCAATTCCCGTCATGCTTGTCGTGGTCGTTTCTACGTAGGTAACTAATTGATCGAGTGTCGCTCGCAGGCGTCATGGCATCAACCATTCATTGCTAAAAGCGGCGAAAGAAAAGTAAAAAGAAAAAGTTCGTATTGCCAATGTCAACAAATCCGGCAGTCTATGCGCGTTATCCGTCGCAAATGGCTCTCAAGAGGGCACCCGAAAGAGGTGCTAACGCCGAGAGAAGAGCACGTGGTTAACGTACGTTCTTGAGAGAAAGAGAGAGTGACAATTAATAAATAAAGAACGCACCTGAATTGCACGGGAGCGTGGATCGAGCTTCTAACCTAATCTCCCCAGCCGTATTGATCCGAAGGGGATGCCGTTGTGTTTTGTTGGCATTTCGCTGCGGAACTTGCTATCCTCGGGGGCGTGGATGTTGGGGGGGGGGGGGGGGGGGGGAAGGGGGGGGGGGGGGAAGGGGGGGGAAGGGGGGGGGGGGGGCAGCACGATGGAGGCGGTGTTATTCCGATGGTCGAGAATCCTCGTCGCTCGCTCGTCCGTCTGACTGTCGGCATGTTTCTGTTTCTCCCTCGGGAAGGGGTGACTGCGTCCGGCCTTGAAGTTGCCACTGCAGTGTCGATTCGGTTATGTCTCCATTCGCTTGTTTTATGGGTTAATGTGTGTTCTTTATGTGTCTTTTTGTGCGCTTTCTTCGGCATCCAGTCGTTTCCGAGCGGAGTTTATGGGACGTCGTTATTCTTCGTTATTGTTGGTTGGTCGTTGTTGCGCGATCGGCGCAAACAATGTTCGGCTCTCGAAACCGGAAGACGTTTGTCTGTTTTGTTCGGTGCGCTCCTCTGATGAGGATGCCAGAGAGCTTTGCGATGTTGGGCAGCGCACAATTCGATGCTTTTTTTTTATGCAATTTATATTTGGGGATTGCGGTAGTAGCAGAACCGGATGACTAGATAACGACATCACGGTAGAAGCGGAACCACTCTGCGTGATGTGACAACAAATTCCTTAGCGCACTAACAAATGCGTGAACTTCCAAGGCTATATCGCCTCACTTTCCCCATCCTCGTGCCACGATGGTACGACAAAGCTCGATCGTAACCTCTGGCGGAGTATATAGACACCGTACCTGTTGAGCCATAAAATCCGCAAGCAACAACAACAACACAGTTCGTCGCGGTTCTGGGGTTCATCTGGTGATAGTGTGTCTACAGGTAATTAATTATTACGGTAGCCAATGAAAATTGTAGAAAACGACGGGAGTTTGTAGCGGTTCAGCGATGACCATAGGCGTGTCTGGACTCCTATGGTCATCGCCGGACGCCGGTGCTCCGCGGACACCGGCGTTCCGCGCTCTAAACCGTTCTCGCAGGAATCAAAGAACGCCGGTGGATTCGTGACGGTTATCTGTCGAAATCCTTGGAAATACTCTATGACTCAGTTCAATTATCTCGCTGTATTTGAAGCCGAAAGCTTGCGTTGCTGTTTTATTTTTGTGTGATGATTGTTTGTTTGTTTGTTTGTTTGTTTGTTTGTTTGTTTGGTGTTGTCCAAACAAAATAGACGGATTTTTTTTATGAGTATATTTTGCTTGCAAGAAATGTGCTTGATGTCATGAAGCTGTAAGCATATAGGGGAGGGAACTGTGTGTGACAATTTGACAAATCGTATGGTAAGTATTTGCATGTGGATTCCACATTGAGGCATGGTCGTTGTACATTAGTGTCAACTCCTCGCCCCATGTCTCTCGGTCTTCGAAATTTGACACATGGATTAAAATTTTTAGGTATAAGTCTAATATTAGCGTAGATATTATTGTAACGTTGATGATTCTTTTTTTTTTTCATTTTTACGGATTTTGTGGTTTTTACCTCATGTCGATAGAGCAATGTCAAGATTGAGCTAATTTTTTTAGCCTCCCCAACGAGTTTGTCTGCACGAAGAATTCCGGGTAGGCCACTACCACTGGAGAACCAATGGCAAAACAATTTTACGTCCCTGACTCTTGACGACTCGGCACCTTTATAAAATATCATTGGTCAGTTAAGCTTTTTTATATTTTATATATTTTATATATTTTATATGCATATATGTACGTTAAAGAGCCCTCCAGAGCGTATTCGGCCTCTCTTCCACAATTGTCCGACTTCGGGGTTATCAGTATTTGTGCAGTTATTAGGTGGACGGATTTGCCGCAAGCTCAGTTACCGTGGGAGATGTAACATAGATAAATTTATTTTAGCAATGTTGCCAGTTGCAGGTGCCAAAAGACCGACAGGCCAATATTCAATCTGCTTACTGTTTCTGAACGAACTGATTTAGGAATTAGTTGTTGACCTTCGGTGTACATATAAGGATTGACGGATTGATTGATTGATTGATTGATTGATTGATTGATTGATTGATTGATTGATTGATTGATTGATTGATTGATTGATTGACGTTTTATGCCGATAAACGTGACGTGTGGGGCTTTCGGTAAATACCGAAAAGCGAACACCTGTATAATGGCGCCGGAGCTAGTGAAACCGTTCCGTCTGCGCAGATTCGTGAGGCAGACGACAGGGGTGGACCTGAACATGCGCATTGGCATCCATACCGGGTCCGTACTCTGCGGTGTCCTGGGACTCCACAAGTGGCAGTTTGACGTGTGGTCTAACGACGTCACACTGGCCAATCACATGGAGTCGGGAGGAATCGCAGGGTGAGGTATTCTTTTCCGTCTTCTTTCCGACTGCGCTACGCGATTCTGATCGCGAATGGTGACCTTATTATAAACTGCGACGTTATATTTATTTGCAGCCAAGAAGCAGAGTTTTGGTTGCCTGCTTTGTGTGGGCGCAGTGTTCGCTTTTTGTTTTGTCTCACGCAAGTTGAGATGTGCTTGTGTTTGCTTTTGTAATTTTTCTAAAGACTGCCAAAGTTTTACTCTTGCAATATTCAGATCAAAAGCGTTCTTTTAAATCCGTACTCGTGCCGTCATTTCTTTTTTTTTTTTTTTACATTTTCAGGAATGAAACAAAACTCAGTAACGTTTCGTTTTTATCAAACTGGCGAGTAACGCTTTTTCGCCTTATAGTTGAGCATGAGATCCTTAACTGAAGCATCTATGAACGCCTTTAGATAATGTTTAGCGATGATTTTGGGGGCAGTCAAGTACACACTCGAAAGAAATTTAAACTTGATACATCCAGTCACCGACGTTTTGATTGCTTGAGGGTGTCGTGAACTGTCCTTAGAGAGTCCATGAACGAAACTTTTCATATAGGGTTTTTCTCAGTTAGGGTTTTATAATATATGGCTATAGCGCGCATTGCAAGTTACCCTTAAAACTTCTAATTCCTTATTGTTCTTTTTTTGTTTTTGTTTTTTATTCCTCTCGCGCAGACGCGTGCACGTGTCCCAGGCCACTTTGGATGCTCTGGGTGACTCGTACGCCGTCGAGCCTGGCTTCGGCGAGACCAGAGATTCGTACCTCCGGCAGCAGAACGTCCAGACCTTCCTCATCAAACGAACCGAGCCGACAGCCTACAAAAAGGTGAGCTGGAGCATTTAATGTATCGTGTAGGCGCTTGATGTATCGTGTAGGATCTTTGTAGCCTGTTGCAATATGGGATAATGAAAAAAATGCCCTTCAATAAAGCTTTCTGGTCGCCAGGATTGGTTGTCGTTTACTTTCTGCTCACCTCGTCTTCAGCGTTGGCTCTGCCAAACAAGATAGCGTGGAGAGGTCTTCTAGGAAGCACTTGTTCTACTATTCTTGCCCTGTAACAGACTGTAGCTTCATGTACAGGCCCCGTTGTCTGCAGGAAAGATTATCTTAGCGTTCTTCTCTCGTTCTGCGACAATATAAAAGGAAGAAGAAAAAAAAGCGACCATTTGCACTGTGTTTCTTTGTGTACAGCTTGTTGCTTAGAGTTTTTTTATTGCTTCTCATATATTGAAAATATTTTTGAAGTTTATCGTTATGCTAGATTCGCGCAGCAGAAGTTCCCTCAAAACAATGTTCAAAGTTCAAGGTCAACGGGTAATTTCCCGACCCCCAAATTTTTTATGAGCTCAACATACTTTTAGAGTATTCAATGTTCCTTTAAAGTCCATGATTTAGAATGTCTCTCTACCAAACCATCTAACCAACATCCACCTAAAACCTTTTGTAAACCCGTCAAATGAACGGTTACAATATATCAAATAAAACATAGAGTGTTTCCATACCAACGGAAAATATAAGAAATTCCAACACTCTTTGTCACCTTAAAAAAAAGTTCTAGACATAGTTTATACCCTTCGCAAAGTTTTTACAAGACTTCGTGGTAAAAGAAAGAAAAAAACAATCATGATTTCGTTGTTGTTTTTGTTGTTGTTTTTTTTGCGTTTGAAACTGATCTTTACTGCACGTACAACTATCTTCATTTATGTTGGAAAATCCGCAGCGCTTAGCGAAAGGTCGGTCTCTTCTACTTCGTCTCTTGGGGTAAAAAGGAGTATACAGTAGGCGGTAACTTCCCGTAGGGCTACAAGCGGCGCAAACGCCGCAGCAACCCGGAAGATCGCCAGAGCGTGGCCAGCGGGGTCCTGTCCAACGGTGCCAACAGCGACCACAGGTCCAGCGCCAGCACCAACAGCACCGTCGGGGCTCACAGCGAAGAGGACGGGCCTACGGTCGAGTGGACGCCCGAAATACCTTTCGAGAACGTGAGTACCAAATGGATAACAGACTACACCAAAATGGCGCTTTTCAGAAATGTTCTTCCTGTCTAGGCTCTCCTCTCTAGAGACTCTCCCGTTTCAGACAGGGGAGTGTCCACCACCTGCTAAGGTTACAATTGCGTCGTAACCTTACCCGAAAAAAAAATTAATAAAAAAGCTCATGAGTTGACAGAAAAGTGGTGGGCTTTCTGGTGACGAGTGAGAAATGTAGAGCGTAAAAACACATTAGCTAACGTCTCGAGACCTCTCATTGCAAGTGGCAATGTGACCTGCTTACTTATCTTATGTTCTCCCCATCCGTGAACATGCAGAGGCCTATGCCGCCAGGGGTTTAGCAAAGCTATACGGCGTTCTGTTTCTACGCAGCAAAGTAGCAAATTCTACTGGTCTATGGTCGCATGCAGGGCAGACGACGGTTTGCACTAAGCGCGCTCGATAGTGACTGTGCTAATTGTATTATTCCCCCAGTCGCAATGTGGAGGTGCTGTTTTTTTTCCCTGCCACTGACCACGTAGACGTGCAAGAGAATTAGTGTTAAACTTGGCTCGGGGCACCCGCGTTCTAATGACGAACACTGCGTGCACAGCAAGCGCTAGCGACTCCGAAGCGAGCATGCCGCGAACAACCGACGAATTTCGCCCGGAGGCACATTGGCTTTGCGCACTGCATCAGTATAGTTACTGGTCTTACGCCTCGTGGAAAGCGAGCGCCGTCGGGTGAAATTAGTCGTGTGGTCACAGCATATTTGCTGAATTGAGTTCAGCTTTTAAAAGTTTGCACGGCCGCAAACATGTTACAGATGAATTCTCCTCTTAAAAAGGGAGCGTGGAATGAGACAGGCGAAGTTTTCGATTACTTAGGTTGCGAGAAAGAGAAATGCATGAGACGAAAAGCGGGCGACTCTGTACGTTTTGTCTCCTGCGACGGAGTTGAAAGGAACTTGTGTATGGAGCTCTCTCCCGAGGAGACGCGGCTTGTGTGAACTCGAGCAGCGCATCCCAGGCCATAGGGCAGAATGTTTTACCTCGTCGGATGCCAGCCCGGGGCACAAATTTGACACGACTGCTGCGTTTGGCTGGGGTCAAGTGAGTCCAGTGAGCTATCAAAAAATTGACGGACACCCTCGTCTGCTACCACCAAGCATGCGCCTAGATAACTCCCCAAAATGTACTTAGAGGATGCAACAACAAGAAACAAGCCGTGATTATGCTTAAGGAACAAGCTGAAATGGTTTCGCTATCAACAAACCGTTCTTGATTCAGTAGATGCAAATCAAATTTCAATTTGGACTCTGTAGCCGTTTAGTTGTTGTTGTTGTTTTCTGTACACAAAGTTTTGTTCTTGTTTATGTTTTGTACCTCCTCCTACTTGGGTTTAATGGGTCTGTAGTGACCTCTAATTAAATAAAACATAACTCACCCTCCTCGCAGAGCTCGCAACTCACGCTCTGCCGTTAACCTCGTTAAAATCTTGCAGCTGGACAACCTGGTGGCTTTTGCCGAAGACGACAATCTCGAAGATGGCGACAGCGTCTCGGTCGGCGGCACGGGTCCCGAGAATTCCAGTTCGGAATACCGGCGGTCGTCCAAAGACGAGGTGCGAGGCTCCATGCGAGAGCACGTAGCGCTCGCGGCGTCCATCAGCGAAGACGTGGACGACATCATCGACCACGAGATAGAACTCGAGAGCAACAAAAAGATGCGCAGAGAAAACGTCAATCAGTTCACGTTGGCCTTCAAGTGCCAGCTCACGGAAAATCTGGTGAGTGACAAATGACTCCAATTTAAGTCGTTGATTGTTTTTGTTTTCTATCATTAATAGTGTCGTTATTCAGAAGCACGCACATACAAGCGTGGTTGGGTGTCTAGGAAAAAAGGCTGTCCAAGCCGCTTGGCTGGTCTTCAGCCACCCCCCCCCCCCTCTCTCTCTCTCTCTCTCTTTTACACAGCAGTGGTGGAGGAGCAAAGATAAATAAAAATGCTATAAATAAGCAAGTACAGAGAGTGTCATAATGCAAAAAATTGATTACAAAACTATATATCAAAGTTACACTAATTCGGTTTGTGTAGGTGAGCTTACAGTCAATGGGGCATTATATAAGTGGCCAATTCTTACCGTAAGTAAGATAATGAAATAAAAAATTAATTAGCTTTTTAATTATTGAAAATAAGCAAATGGTTCCAATTACAAACTTTCTGAGCGTCACCAAAAACCACCAAATAGTCAATTTTAGAGCGATCGGAAGCACGTGGGACGCGCGGTTGTGCACCAAAGTTACCCGGCACTCGTGCAACAGGCGCAAAACTAGCGGTGGGAATACGTGGTTGATAACATATTCATCCGAGGGGTAACTTTGGTGCTCCCCGCGCTTCTCACGTGCTTCAAGTCATTATAAAATTAAACAATGTTTTTTTTTAATGACGCTCAGCGATTTTTCTAATTGAAACCATATTTTTATTTTCACTAATTGAAAAAGGTAATTTTAAAAGCAGTTAATTATTTGACTTCTCCTGAGGGTTAGCCCCCTATATTATGTCTCCCTGGCTCTATAATTAACCTGAATAAACCGCATTACTGAATCTCTAACGGATTCTTTGTAAGAAATATCTTCGAGTTAAATATAAAGCACCCTGTAAAGACGACCAGAGATGGCAGTAATGCCATTACTGTAATGGAATTAGAGTAATTAAATTACTTTTTAAAGTAATAAGTAATGTTTTGAATTAATTTTCTAAAATAGTAATTTTGTAATGTAATGAATTACTTTTAGGCAGTAATTTCGAGAAAATTACTTATTGCTTTTGAAATTACTTTTGTCCTGAATTAGAAAGTTCGTTTCCAAGCTTTAAAAAAGAAGAGAAAATCATTTTGCATGGTGCAACGTTGTGAAAGAGTATCGGAGAAAATAATCCACCGCCACCTCAGCGCGAAGCCTTGTACGAAGAACTGGACAGAAGCACAAAGGAGGGCTGGAAAAGCGGAGGAGAAAAGTTTGCGTGAAGACATCGCTGGAAGGCAGCGGCTTAGGGGTGTAAACAGGACACTACAAAACGCACGACTCCGACAAATCGTGAAAATTGAAGCGGGCTTGAAGCGGGCGCGTCCGCTTCAATTTTCACGATTTGTCGGAGTCGTGCGTTTTGTAGTGTCCTGTTTGGACACCCCTTTACGAACTCCAGGCACGACAGATTCAAGACGTCGCGTCATCAGGACGATACTATACTTCGTTCATCCCTTAGCTGGCAGTGCGGTGGGAGCTGCAAGCTAACCAGAACCAATGAAACACCTTCCTTTACTCCCTTGTCCCGTCCCTTTCTCTGTTCGTGGGTATGAACGAGGGCGTGGTTACCTGGCGGAGGATGGACGTGTGACTGTTCCAACTAACACGTAGCTTCCACCGTTCATTCCTAAGCTGACAGTGTGTCAGCTTAGGGATGAACGGCTCATAGGCTACAAGGCGATAGGCACATCACCAGTGAGTTAAACATAATTTAAAACCTGAGAGGACAAGATTAACAGATCCTTGTACTTTCGTAAAGCAAGGTCAAACCGCAAGCTCCGACCATTGTGAACAACAAACGACCGGAATCAATAGTTAATTCCAAATGCCTTGTCAAAGCTCCAGAACGTTTCGTGCGTCCTCGAACAAAGCAGGTGCCGCTCGTGGTATGGCTCGCTGCCTTCCCTTGGGAAGTTTATTCGGGAATAAGCCTACAGGCAGATGTCGCCCCCCGTTTGTTGAGAAAGTACAGAATTTCGGAAGCTCGCGCCACTCCTCAACTGGCGACGCTTCTGCTTAGCAATTATCCGGGCCCTTTGTGTGACAATGCGCAAAAACTTGGGCTCTTCGGGTGTTTGGGAAAAATGATCCTTGAAAGGAATGACCGAAAATAGGCTCTTGGGAGAATAGGATAAGATGTGTCCGAGGCGGAGGGGAAACGTTTCACGTGACGACTAAGAACGAGCTGCCATTGCCCAATTAAAAAAAAAAGAAAAAAAAAACTGTCTCAGATTACAATTTCTAAATCAGGAAGACGGAAACATATCACGCTTTTAGTAAGAGCCTTTACCGTTGAATGAACAGCGACACCAGTGAGTCGACTGTCTTTCTGAGTCACATCTAAAGAAGCTATTCATCATGTTTAACACTTATGTCGTGTGCGCAAGCAAAACCACTGTTCAGTATGATTCACTCTGAGGCACATAAGGTTGTTTCGGTGTAAACAGGAAGATCTGAGTTTTGGTACATATAGACCAACTCAAATCTTTGACGTCACATTACTGCGGTGGCGCTGCTGTCGGCACCGCGCATACGCAGCGCCTCGCTTCTCCCGGATCTGGTTCCTGCACACGCGCTGTGGGGGCAAACGAGGGCTTGTTTTGTAAACATTGTGTTCGTGTATACGGTAAGTAAAATTAGCTCAAATTACTGCCTCAAGGTATTCAAAAGTAATGTTAAAGTAATTTCATTACTTCTAGAAAGTAATGTTAATGTAATGGCATTACATTTAGTCTGTGTTAATTTCTAACGTAATTTAATTACATTGTTGCAGTTTTCAGAAAAGTAATTAGTAATGTAATTTGATTACTTTTTGAAAGTAATTTTGCCGTCTCTGGAGACGACGCAATAGTTTTCACGTTGATTATAATCCATATACAACACTGATAATTTTTCATATTGAGCAAAAATATTTGTTAATAATTTTGAGATTAGACACAAGAAATTACGTAATACAAAACGCTTACCTAAAACGCATTATTGTTATACAGAGTACGACATAGCTGAGTCACATATAAAGTCCGCGACTTTTCACCATCGCGTGCAAAGTGAAAGCAATAGCTGATATTGCGCCTATAGTATGTTGCAACATCAGATATCAGCGGGACACGCTTCACCTTGGGTACGCGCTCGGTGCCTGCTGTAGTGCTTAGACCACGCACGCGCCGAAGTGTTATGGAAGGTGGAAGGTGCGCGATCGAGACGGAGCTTCTACTGCTGATCTTATGTGGCAACAGACTATATACTCTGTTCACGATGCAACAATTTTTGTACTGTGCACAAATACCGCTTAAAACGGATCCCTAACGTTAATGACCCATGAAACACGCGTTCGTTTTTCACCCCACGCAATAGAAGTCCCAGAAAAAAATTTAAGAAAAACGACCAGCGTTCACCCCTCAACTCGCAGCCAGAAAAAGCGGCCACGTGATTTAGAGCCGATTATATGCCGCCAGTGTTGATCATAGCCACGCGCTGGGGTTGGCAAAGCGCAGGACACGCGCTGAGTTCCAGACATTGTTATGGCTCGGCTGTTGTCGTCGTTGCAGCGATTGGACACGGGTCACAACCCGAATGCTTCTCGAGCTAGCAATTGTCACGAGCCCAAGTCGAGTGCCCACGCAATGCTCGGGTCCAATCTATGAACCGCATTCAAATATCGTCACTTGGGTGTACTGCGATCCCCGAGTTACGTCATCAAATTTTGCAAAGGAGAGATTGAATGAAAATGATCGCTTTTGTCCTTGAACTTGCACCGCAACGAAGGAGTTTCTTGGCCAATGGCGTTGCGTGTGAGTATCCTTGAGTCCCAGGTGTGCCAGTAAGCTCGTGTAGAGAGAAAAACATTCCAATTGAATATCGTTGCACAGCTCCTTTAAGGGTTCAATCCCCACCCCTGCCCGTTTCGATCTGGATGAGCATCGTACGGGCGTGCGGTCGTGTATCACTATAGTGATGCACGTCAAAGACCTTAGGCTAGCGGTTGTACTGCACTGGCTAAATTGCTCGTCTACAGCTGGGAGACTTGTCGCCCGTTGAGGCAGACCAAGTTCTAGGCTGTATAAACATACACACAACCCAATTTGTTCACCTTCAAAGGGGTCATGAAAAAGTTTTTCTACTTCCGCTATATACTACCTAGAATAACTCCCTCGTGTTAATAACTGAATAAGCTTGCCTTAGTTTTTTTTTTTCCTTCTAAGCAATGGCAGGCGCCAAAAAAAAAAAAGAATTGAAATATGAACGTTGTTCATCCCCTCAACTTGGAGCCAGAAACAGCGGCCACGTGACCTGGTGCCTATCTATATGCTGTCAGCGTTAATCATAGCCACGCGCTGGGGTTGGCAAAGTAGAAAACGCGTGCTAATCTCCAGGCATAGCTAGAGTTCGGCTATTCTCATCGCCCCAGTGGACAGTGGTTAGACACGAGCCACTATTCGAGTGTCCGCCGAGCCGATGTCGTATGTAGGAAAGGTAACACACCGCACACACGAATCAACGTCCATACGACTGAATCGAAACATATACCGTTCGGCTATCGTTGTAGCTATCGCTGTAACTACCTCTGTAAATACTGAGCCTATTGATGTAACTATCACTCTAACTATCGCTGTAATACTTGGATGTTTGACACCAGCCTGCGGTAGCGCAACTCCTCCTCTCTCCGTGTTTTCCTCCTTTCCGTCGAAGGCAATCTCCTTGCCCTCCTTCCGCGCCGCGCCCCCGCCGCCATGTTTGTGCGAGGCCCACAAGGCGCGCCTGCGTGCTGGGCTGGGCCGTACTTGTTTGCCATATAACATACGGCAAAGTACAGAATTTTTTTTTTTTTTTTATGAAGGCAGTTTTTTGTTTTTGGGCGTGACAAAAAAAAACTAGCCTTTGTCCACCTTTAGTTGAGTTGTAAAGTACGAGAAGACGCCTCGATCGGCAAATGTAATAACGCGGGCAGAGTTGGAATCGCTCGGTTGTGAAGACAAGCTTTCTCCCATTCCGCTAAACGCAGACGACTCACACACACAAAGAAAAAAAAAATCCCAATGTAGATTTTAGTATTTTAGGACATCGGCATGCAATGCAAAAATATATTGCGTTTACCCGCTCATTGCAGCAAGAGCTGATGACAGGCAGACGTTAGAATGCACCTCTCCCTGGGTGTAAATAGTGTTTCGTAGGCAAGGACTGCGTTGCTAGCGGGAGCTCGTGCCGTCGCTTTGAGCATGGATTGAGCACGCGCCCGCAAGGCTCGCAATCCTTAGCGTAGGCTCTACTAAAACGTTATAGTATCTTGAACGCAGTGTATTTGCAGACTCGGCATCACTCGAATAAAAGACACCGCGACACGTGCAAAACTAGGACTTTTCGGTAATTTTTTGCAGTACCGATCTTTTCGCCAAACCAGCAGCTTGCTATACTTCGTTCACATTTTATAAACGTTAAGTGCTACCTGCAACTGAACACGTGCTCACGGAGGAATATGCGACGTCTGCTATGTACACGACTCGTGCATTTAACTACCTATCAAGTACACTCATTTATTTTGCCAAGATGAAAAAACAAAAACAGCGCGTCCTCTGTTGCTTTGTTAGCGCGTTCCTCATTTATCCCATTTATAGCGAGGCCTTCTTTCATCCTTACAGTTTTCGCGATATTGTTTTGACGTTCTCACGGCACGCCATTCAGTTTACTTGCAAAGCGTATAAGCCTTGCCGCAGACGTGCCTCATTGCTCGATTTACGAATGAGAACAGAGAGATCTTTCAGCAAAGCCTTCAAAAGACAAGAGCAGCTTTTTATTGTGAATAAATGATATTTGATTAACCACAGAGGAAAAATCACATACGGATGAAGACAATAAAATATTGATTGCTACAAGGCAAGATATTCCAAGGCGGACTATTCGCCTTTTTCAAGAAACACTCCTGTTCAACTACAAAAACATAACAAAATAACTACTGCACATTTCTCTCCTTTCACTGACGCAATATGCTCGCGGTAACATACAACCCTCTTTATTTTAGTGGCACCCCAGTCTCTCACGAATCGTTTTCAACTCGGCCGATTCAATGCAAACGAGCTAAGAGCGAGCGAGTCAGTTTCCATTATCAAATACGCGCGAAAAGACGTTTCAAAGTTCTTCGTGCCGGTAATTTAGTTCCGTGTTTGTCACGAGCGCGAGCTGCTCGATTGTTTGTGACTCTCCTTTCACTAACGCAATATGCCCGCGGTAAGACCCTCTTTATTTTAGTGGCACCCCAGTCTCTCACGAATCGTTCTCAACACGGCCGACTCAATGCGCGCGAGCAAAGAGCGAGCGAGGCCGTTTCCATTATCAAATACGCGCGAAAAAACGTGCAAGAGTTCTTCGTGCCGGTAATTTAGTTTCGTGTTTGTCTCGTCTCATGATCGTATTCGGCGATCTTCATCGGCGAGACCAAAGCAAAAGATGTAACACGATCCAGAGTTTTGCAATGACTTACCTTGCAAAGCCTCCCTCGGAAGCATGCAGTCGAAAATTTTTCCGTCCGATCCGGTCGATCCATTGTCTTTGTCGCTGAAGATTTTATTTTCTCGTCGGAACGGCAAAAGCGTCTTCCTTTTCGCAACGCAGTTTGTACAATCCACATCGCAGCATGATGGCATCGCGTTGCCGCCTGAATCATGGTAAAAAAAAAAAAAAAAATCTACGGCAATAGAGCCATTTCCACGCTTCGCACAAAGATGGCGTTGGTTTATAGGAAACCACCGAATCGCGCGGGATCTTGGGAAGGTAACGGTCACGTGTCGCGCCTGATCCAATTGAAGCGAGGGGAAAGGGAACTTTTTAGAGGGCAAGGGCAGGAGTTAAGAGAAATTTCTTTTCCCCATTTCAGACAATGGTTTGCGCTACCTTTCAGTCACCGCTAGGGTTCCTGTATAGACTCTCTTGTCACAGCTTGACGCGCCCGTCATCTCTCGACTTCGGGCTGAACTACGTACTCTAATTTTGTGTGGTCATGTAATCTGATTACGTCTCGGAGTTTTGCATCCAGAACAACGGCGCCGCGAATACGGCTCGGAATTTCATCTAATAGCTATCGCCGTAAAATTGTATCGATAACTTTTTTCCTGTGTTTTTTTTTTTTTTTCTACTGCCTTTATTCGTATGATTCCGGTTAACTGCTTTCATGTGCAGAAGAAAAAATCTAGGTAAATTCTTCTTTCTATACGATCCTGCAGTATTAAACTCTCATAAAGCGCCTAAAAAAAAGTTCAGGTTAACTTTCCCAAACACGCGTTTCCTTTATATAGAACTGCTCGTCTCTGTCGGTAAATTTAATTTATAACATCTAACGGAATATATTTAATTATGCGCTGCGACGGGACCGAGTAAATTGGAAGCACTCAGACAGTATCCAGGAAAAGCAAAACCCGATGCAACGCCGAGCGCGAACGTATAGAACCTGGCTGAAAGCTCACCGGAGGCGAGACGGCCAACTCGAGTTTGATATTATTGTTTCGTCGACATTTAGTCAAACAGGATAGTGCCGAACTGCCCAAGTTAATGCAGCGGATAAACACATTCTTTGCACAATTAGATTCGAGTTAGCCGTGCGTAAAGCATGTAAAAGATTGGTAGCTGTGTCGAACTTTCCATATTCAGTCATGTTTATTCAGTAGTATGTTAAAATTGATTTGTAATTATTAAACAAAATTAATATTTACGTTGTCGTCATTGTTTTTTTTTTCCCTTTTAGTTTCAACAGCATCAAGTTCATGATACTGTGTTTCGTTCTAACATGACCTGTGCCTTTATCACCTGGATCTTCATTGTCATCTGCCAAGGAATTATGCTTCCAAAGTAAGTCCTGCCAAGTTCACTTCGTAAAGGTGGATTTCTGGTGGATATAGGCCAACTCTGCGTCTACTATTTTGGTTAATGTATTAGTTAAAATACATTAAATTCTCATATGACAAGTTTAAGCTCAGTATCATTATTTTTATTAGATACGTATGAAACTGTTATTTTATCCCGGTTGATAGCGGATCTGCAAAACGGGCACCTGTTTTGCAGATCCGCTATCAAAATAAGATCAGAAAACTGTTCTTAAGTTTGAGTATCTTAATAAGCTAAGAAAAAGAATCAAGGTCCCAGTTGATTAAGTTACAGGAAAACACAGAAAAATGCAGTATTCTTGAGTAGATTGTTGGGCTAGTTGGTTTTGGAATTGTGAATACATTTTAGCGCTCAAAAAACAGGGACAAAGAGGCGAGAAACAGACAGCATATAAAAGTGTCGTTTCACGTAATAAAATCAGTTGTTAGTAGCGCACTGTGCTGTCTGTTTCTCGCCTCTTTGTCCCTGTTTTTTGAGCGCTAAAATGTATTCCAGTATTCTTGAGTTGCAATTTAGTGGCTGTAGTACTATCTAATCACGACCACCATATTTTGTCCTGGACGCGTATACGTTTACAAGTCTACGCACCTGTGTATCATTAGCTCTTCTCAAGCTTTAAGAAATTAAACAAATTTTTTTTTTCAGAAAATCAAAGGTGGTTCAGATTTTTTTATATTTTTATATGGGGCATTTTAATATTTTCATAGTAACCGGAGACACGGAACGATAACAAAACTGACAAAACGATAACAAGTCTCAACTATGGAAGTTACTATGGAAGTTCTTCACCAGCTTGCCCGTGTTTTTACCCTTGCTTCGATGCTTTTATGAAGGTAGTATTTACAGATTCGTTAAAAAAAAACAATAAAATTGAAATCTACACTCCTGCCGTTTGTGCAGGTGAGTTATGCAGCAAAGGGGACATAATATAGGAGCATAATTTTCAAAATAAATCCGCTAATAAACTAAAAAAAATAGTAACGTTTTAATTAGTGAAAATAAACGTATGGTTCCAATTACGAACATGCTAAGCCTAATCTGAAACCACTAGATCTGTCTTTTATAAATACTTGGATCATGTGGGAAGCACGGTGCCGCGCTAAAGTTATCACTGAAGAGTAGCAAATCTACCAGTGCGATAACGCGACCGCGCGGTATTTCACTTTCTTATCCGTGTTTTCTTACCGCCAGCCTTGTGCCTGTTGCAAAAATGGTTAGCGCACTACTGCGCCTCACATGCGCTCAAAGTTTTTGCTAAAAATTACTAATTTAGTGGTTTTTGATGACGCTCAGCAAGTTTCTAATTGGTATAGTGTGTTTATTTTCACAAATTAAAAAGTTAATGAACAGAACCGAGTTAATTACTAGACATATTGTGACGATTAACCCCTATATTACGTCCCCCTGGCCCCCTGGCCGTGTAAGTCACCTGCGCAGACCGCATTTTGGGTAGATTTCCCGGGTTTCTTAAAGCAATCATATTAAAAATAGCGCAAAAAAGACGGGACAAAAAGACGAAGAAGCGCACAGGAAGCGCTTGTCCTGTGTGCTTCTTCGTCTTTTTGTCCCGTCTTTTTTGCGCTATTTTTAATATGAATGTCAATTACCAACTTGCCCAGCAGACCAAGCTTTTACAATAGATTTCTTAAAACAAATATTTAAACCATAAAAACAACACAAAAAAAAAACTTTTTTTTTGAGCGGTGAATGACAAATGCATTAGTAGAACATTGCATGACGTGGTAGCCTTCCAGCATAGCGTTTTAAAGGGGCTGTTTTCAGCGAGCAAGGTCCTTATTCTTAGCCTGACCCACGTGTACTATGCTGCACGAACTTCTGTCCTTAAATATATCACTAAGCAAATACTTATCTATTGCAGAGCTTTATGACTAATTCTGCTCGGCGTCGGTATCATAAGGTTTGCCACCTTCTAGTTGTACTGACAACCTGGATGTCAGTTGAACTGTTCCACAGCATGTCTTCCTCTTCCCAGGTCCTTCTTCATGACTGTATCATACTCATCCATCTCCGGCTTGTTAGCACTTGTCCTTGTGGCAGCGGTGGGCAGTGAATGTCCGTGGTCCCCGGTGCGCCTTGTGTCCATCTCCAGGACTCTGGAGGAGCAGTGCTTCTGGAGGAACATCGTCATCTGCTCCACACTCTTCCTCATGTTCGTCGCCTCTACTGGCACTATGGTACGTGGTCGACTCCAGCTGATATTAACCACACTTTTTAATCTAAAGTTTCCTGACCAAGTCAGAGCGAATAGTTAAAATAGCCGAGTTAATAGCCGTTATTATTACTACTCTCTTCAAGTGAATAAAGCAAATGGTTCAAATACTTGATGTCATAGCCGTTGTTCAGTATTTATTTCTGCTTTGTACAAATTATGGAAGAACTACAGATGTTGAGTGTCCCTCTCGCCAGTTTGGTCAAAAGCTTCATAATCAGCCGGTTTCAAATTTCGATTAAACTTTTTAAATGAGTATTTGGATTTCTGCCGTTAAATTATGATAACACGTTTCAGAAAGAGAAATGAATTGCAGGCAGACGTGTCACACTGTCAAGATTAATTAGACCTGAAAAAACTCCCTTTCAGAGCCGTTTCTATTCGCGTCTTGCCTTTGTGACGTAAACTGTGTTCAATCTTCTATCACGATATTAATCATCCCTCTTCTTAAACAATGTAAAATTGTATTGTGTGTATGTTTAGACAGTGGGTAGTTAGTCAGTCCCAAAGGACCCAACAGTCTCGAACTGCTGTGCGTTAACTTAACACATGCTCGGCCACTGATCGTCGAGAACCGTTAATGAGTACTGCTTCTTTGGACAGTTTATACAGGAGCTATAGCCTTGAGTGTTATTGACATTTTTCTCCTCGCGTCGAGTCATTCTAATTATTACTCATCAGCTGACCTCCGATGTTGATCAATCTTTGCTAAATATAGTAAGTTCTGCCGCGAATTCAATATAACGGCTTTCTGAAACAAATGAGTTGCAGACAGGTCGCTAATAACGTGTATTTCAAGATCAATGAAACCGGAAACAGTTCTGCTTCGGAGCTGTTGTTTTCGCCGGTTGCCTTTGTAACTAACTTGTGCTCGACCCTTCAACACAACACTAACCCCGCTCGTAAAGAGTCCACTCTTGCTGTTTGGTTGTTTTAAGGCCCGTTCACACTCTTGCGACCGAGTACGACTGAGAGAGACGAGATCTCCTACAACTTCTTAAATGTTTCTAGAATGAGGGAACACACTGACATTGTGGCGCCATCTATGCGGTGACCCTAGAGCTGCATTTCACAAAAGCGAAGGTTTTGCGTTATTTCCGAGGTCAAATGTGCGTAATACCCATAGAAAGGCTCGTTTATAACATTGACAAAAGCCTTTCGAGCCAAAAAAGAAAAGATATTGTGCGAGAAATAAAAAAAAAATATGCCGGACCGCCGAGTTTACACTGCTTCCCAATAGATGGCGTTAGTGTGTTCTCTGGTTTAAGAAGTTTTAAGGAACCCAGGTTTAAGAGGTCGCAAGCAGTCGCAAGAGTGTGAACGGGCCTTTATACTCCAGGCTCAAGCACACCGTAACACTCGGTTTGAACAAACGATCGTGTTTTGTTTTTTTGCTGTATTTGCATGTCACCGTCGAGACCAGTGCTACGCGTCGGTCGCTCTTTGCTCATTTGTTCCGTGCTTTGGTGCGAGGGTCTCGTTTCGATGAACCGTTGCCGCGTCGTCGTTTATGCACGCCGACATGCGCGCTTACGAAATGCAATTTCAGCTCCGCCGCTAAAAGCTGATGGCAAGAAGTCAAGGTCCGTTCAGACACTTGCGTTTGCTTACTACCGAACTTTTGTAATCTCCTCCGGCGAGAAAACACACTGGCACGCTGGCGCCATCTATGAGGTGACCCTGGAACTACCTTTCGCGAGACCGAAGGTTTTGTGGTATCGGCGAGATCAAATGTAAATAAAAAATTGTCCTTTAAAACATTGTAAAAAATTTCTCGAGCCAAAAAAAGATTTTTTTCGATTACAATGTGCGAATAAATTAAAGCGATAGCTGTAGTACGGTCGCGCAATACGGGTGGAATGGTGCCGTCACATACCTGAAGGCGGAGGTGCGACGTGTTTAATTCTCAAAGCAGTCGTGGTTGGCGTGGTGGATACCACTGACAACTGCCACGAGTGATCCGTGAAATAAGTGGGTAAGCGCCGTGGAAGTTTCTAAAACCATCCAACATTACGTGTAGCAACAGGATACTGCCAAAGTAGGATTTCGCATAACGCGAGTAATGTTTGAAAACAAGTCTTCCAAGCAGACGACACGATGATTCTCTGTTCGTTGCTCCAGTCTTGGCGGGACGTCACGGCCGCCCTCTTCGCTCTCTTTGCTCGGCACGGTGGACGAGAAGTCCCGACTTTCCTCTCTTCGCGGCAAGAGGAGAGAGAATTAAGAAGGATTTTCCCAGTTTTTCCATTCTTGGCGCGCGCGGCGACGACAACCGACGAGGACGAAATCTCTGCCGAGTTTCGCCCATAAAGCTGTCGCTTTAAAATAAGAAGAATGCGCGAAAAATAGGAAATATACGTTAACGCTAAGAGATCCACGGGCACCCGATCGATGTCGCCAGTGTGTTTTCTCGTCGCAAGAGATCACAACAGGTTTTAAAGGGGCCCTGCAATGACATTTTTACTAATTTTTCATTTGCACCAAACCTGAGCGCATTGAACGTAGTACCTTAGTGAAACCTTTCTTTTCTCGAATTTCCCTTTATTTTAAAAGTTATAGGCAAATTAAAATTACAAAAACAAGCAAAAAATAACCTCCCGCATGACGTCCTTGGTTGCTTGAGAGTGGCCGTGAACTAGAGGAGGGGTAGTGAGCTCAGCGAGCGCTCACGGCTGCCGCAGTCCGTGTCGACGGCGCGAGAGGGCGCCATTAAAGCGTGTTCTGGATAGGCTGTATGCAGCGGGCAGCCAGAGCGGCTCTCATGGCATTTGCTGCGCGATTAAACACTAATTCGGCGTGACACTTCGTTGGCCACAAACGACAGTAAACACGGGGTAAAGATCAGTTCAGAATGGAAGCTACTTTGCTCTGCCATACCGCGAAACGGCCAAACCGCCAGACAAAGCTGCTCGCCGAAGGCCTTCGGAACGCTTGGAGCCGGTCGGATCCTCCTGCCCACACGACCGCAGCGCCGCCGCGTACATCCGGGACCTTTCCGTGTCGGCGCCTGATCCCACTATTCCTTTCTAGCATGCGCCGCCTTTTCCACCGCTTGGTGGCGGGTATGTCGACGGGTCATTTCTTCTTTCCGTACTTTATAAACTGCATTCGTTTCTCTTTTTTTTTTATCTAAAATACAGAACAAAAACTACTTTTATAAATAACTGAAACGGTTCGCGCCAAATATATTGTGTATTTCGACTAAAAAGAAGCTTTTAGCGGCTCTGGCCAGTAGTAAGCCCAGGACCAAAGACGTCACATTTTGCGCGCTTTCGGTACCGCGGGTCGCCCTCGTCGGTGGAGGAGGTTTCCGCGTCGTCCAGTTAAAATATGACGCACTGATATTTAGTTACTCTCTCCATGCCCGCTGGCTTGCTCGAACCCCAAGAGACGTGGAAACTGGAAAAAAGGTAGACGCTTAAATATGATTGCAGGGCCCCTTTAAGGAACCCGGTCGTAAGCGGTAACAACTGTGGGAGGGCGAAAACGAACGGGACAGATTAAAGGCCCGTTCACACACGTGCAATTTCTCAGGGCCGTAGAGTCTAATATACGGTTTTTATCCCCTTCGTGACGGCTTACGACCAACTCCGCCACAGCGCAGCCGATGGTAAGCCGGTCTTGTCTCAGTCGGTCGTAGTCCAAAGCCAGTGTGTGAACGGGCCCTAAAAAGTGGAGCAGTCTGCTCGAACCACAGCAAGGGCTATGCTGCCCTTGTAGACACATGGAGTATTTAAAAAAAACTTTGCTAGCAAACAGTTTCTTTTTTTTTTTTTTTTTTAAGTGAGCGTTATCTAGTATCTGCTGCACAAATTATCCGAGTCCGCCATAGTTAGATCGCACGTACATTAAGCAGGTATTACACCCGAGGGCTGTGCCAGCTAGCGTTGGGCGTGAACTCGGCTCAGCTCGTATTGACAAAGAGCGCTGCGTCAGCGATCGGCGAGGACTCGGATCCAATCACGCGCTTCACGTCCAGTGGATGGATAGATCTTAATGGCTGTACCCTTTATATCGGGCGGTAGCTTGCGCCACCTAGCCTAGAAGTTAAGAACCAAAAGTATGATTTATTTTAAACCCGATCAAACTAGGGCGATTGCCAATGTTGCTTGAGGGGGTTTTAAAAATGGTTTATTGGACTACTGTTCCTGTGACCTTTGATACCCTGATTTGAAACCTTTGTAGAACAATATTCTTATTCCCTCAATGTCTGAGTGTCGTGCACTGAGCCGTGAGACGGTCGAACCGATCACAGTACCAAACACATGTCCTCGGTTGTCCGCGCTTAACTGAAACGTTTCCCCGATTTCTTCTGGGTCTACTTAAAGGATATTAAGTTGTGGAGGGTTCATGCACCATATTTTCTAGCTTATTTCCCGTATTTGTTTACCAGGAGAATCCGCGCGTGTAGCGAAGCACACAAGAGTCGAGTATTGCTGTTTAAAGAAGGATAGATGGTTTTAGGGAGAATTACAAAGTATGGTGCTTCTGTGCTCGAAATCTCGCGGCATATGTTTGGTTCAGAAGTTACCTGCGCCTCCATATTCGCTTGTCCCTTTTCGCAGATTGTCATATGAATGGTTCTCGCGAGCCTCCGCGAGAACCTTTCGTAAACTTGTGCTGGTCAAACGCGTCTCAACAATCGTGTCTCAGTGCAAAAAAAAAAAAAATAATAATAATAATAATAAAGCACTGCGCCTAATAACTTTTTATGCTTTTGTTTCAGTTTGTTTGCGACAGGACCCCGCAAAATTCAACGATGGCGTGCAGATTTGAATCTGCGGAAAGTTCGCTGTGCTGCTATCCTCAGGTGAACCTTACGCAAGTCTCGTTCTAGGCACCAGTAGCACGCGGCAGCTGACATCTACATAAAACGAGGAGTGTGCTTGATTGGAGGATTCACTTGGGCTCTGAGGAATATGCACATTTCAACAATTAGGTTAGCGTGGGGGAAAATAAGGGCGATATAGCTCCGATGAGTAGAAAATATCAACACTCATTTCATGTTATATTTTTAAACAAACAAACCTCTAGTTTTAACAGCAGCTCTAGATTCTGATTAGTAAATAGTTTATTATAGCGTGTTTTAGAGAAGGGTGCGTTGGTAGAAAACAGAAACCTAATAATTAAATTTAAAAAGGCAAAACACGAACAGCATATCTCTTGTGCTGTTTGTGTTCTATTTGTCTTTTTCTTGTTTTTTAGAGCGCAGCTCTTAACGGCTGTTTCCGCGTGTAGCGGCGTCCCCGTCGCTGTCGGCGTCGCGTCGGCGTAACCGCTCGCGTTGCATTATGGTACATCACAGACCTATTCACATTTCCAATTCCTCACTAAATTTAGCGAATAAACTGAATTGGTGTGTAGGTCTGTGATATCCCAGAGTGCAACACTGCGTATTCAGTTTCCCCGCTAAATTTAGCGGGGAATCAAATTGGTTTTGAGGTCATGTGGCGTTAGTTTTCCCGCTAAATTTCGCGGGGAAACAGACTGTGTATAGATCACATGACATGAAGTCATGTGACATCATTTTCCCCGCTAAATTTAGCGGGGAAACTGAAGTGGTGGAGGTCACGTGGCGTCAATTTTTCAGTTAAATTTAGCGGGAAGCTTTGACGTCACAGGCCACGGCTTCACGAAATTCGGAGCAACTAACCAAAAACTTTTCACGTTGAAATAAACACCGCGCGCGTTGAATATATATATATATATATATATATATATATATATGTATTTCTCGAGAATTCTCTACCACGGTTTGTCACAAAATCTAGATACCTCAAGAGCTGCGCCCTAATTTCGCATTACAGAGGAGCGTAAGCGTCTGTAATTTTTAATAATTTTCTTTTGATTTTCCTTTTTTTTTTTTACGGCACCATTTCGTATAGAGGTTGAATGATTTTATAAAGGTGTCAATTACATGAGATTGCTTCTTAAAGTACGTCTTTAAAGTCACGTTTAATACTTATTAGTAGCCGCGTGGACTGGCTAATATATGAATGCATACCGACAAAATAAAATGGAGCTTATAGGCCTGAATTCAGTATGGCCAGGACGAACTTTTTAGGATGCGTTTTGGAAGCGGGTTATCTCTCTCTCTCTCTCTCTCTCTCTCTCTTTATTTTTTTTTCTTTTTTTTTTTTCCTTTGGTAGACGAGCTGTGTGTGTCGATAATGTTTATATTAGTGATTTGCAGATGCGTTGAAATTATTCTGGTATGGGAAATAAATAAATCCTAAAGGGTTGTTTCGTTTTCCTTCTCAGTACTACATGTTTTCCTGGATGTTGTGCATGGTCGCCTGCTCCGCCTTCATCAAGCTCAACTACCTCATCAAGGTGGTTATGCTGGCGGGAATGGCGCTCACCGACATCGTCCTGGTGAAGGTCTTCTTCCCCACAGTGTTCAGGCGATCTCACAAGGGATACGAAGTGTAAGTACTTTTCTTTTTCTTTTATTGCTCGATACAACTTTGAGCGCAAGAAATTAGTCGCATTCCTGACATGTTTATAGTTATAATCACTGAGAGCTTAAGCAGCGGAAGGTGTGGCATTATGCATGATCAGCCTTCCGGCTTCGTGATTGGTTCTTCTGCGATCTTATCGGCTCGTGACGCATTCTCATTGGTTGAGGGGGGATGATAAAGTGCTCGGGATGCACCGCGCCCTGCCCTATCGACCTACACACCGTCTATAAACAAGCCCGCGTTTACCCAGACCGGGTGTGGGCATTGCGCGTGCGCAGAAAACAGATTCGCCTGAGGCGAAGCATCTGCGCATGCGCTGTGCCGACAGCAGCGCCACCGCAATGACGTGACGTCAGAGACTTGAGGTGGGCCAAAGCTGTAAACTTTACCTCGTAAACCGGGAAAATAAATCCCCATATATATAAGGTGGGTATTTTTTAAATTTTATTTTGTTTTAATATTAACAGGTTTTTTTTTTTTTTAAACAAGAGTGTCGTAAAAGCTACACTTATGCAGTTTGTGCAGGGGGAAATAGTATAGGAGTGCTCATCGTAACGATCACTCCGCTAATTCAGCAAAATTTGTTAATTAACTTTTAAATTTGTGAAAATATACATATCGTTCCAATCAGAAACTTGCTGAGCATTTTCGAAAACCGCTAAATCGGTAATTAAAAAAAAATATATACTTTGAGCGCGTCGGAAGCGTAACATTGCGCTAAAGGTACCACTTGCGCAACAGGTACAAGGGTGGGGCTATGATGATAAAAAGACGGGAAAATCGCGCGGACACATTGTCGCACCGGTAGCCTTCCTGCTGCATGAGTGGTGAGGTAACTTTAGCGCGACTGCGCTTCTCACGCGCTCAAAGAATTTCTAAAAATTACTGATTTAGTGGTTTTCGATGACGCTCAGCAAGTTTCTAATGTTGAACCATGTGACTATTTTCACTAATTAAAAGGTTAATTACCAAATTGTACTTAATTAGCCGACTGATTGTTGCGATTAGCCCCCCCCCCCCCCCCCCCCCAATACTATGTCCCCCTGGCCATATAACTTACCTGCCCAAAGCACAAAAGTGTAGCTTTCAAGGCTTTTTTAAACAAATCTGTGAAGCTTAAAAAAAAAAAACCTATTTGTACAGCAGAAATCAAACGGTAGATATAAATTGTAATTTCGAAAATCAGTATAAGCCACTGGGGTATGAGAAATAGGGTCTAAAACTTGTGCCCCAAAGGCCCGTGTTTCTTTTCTACTCAGTCTCTCCTGAGCTCATTGTAGCGAATGGTTTTGGTTCGCCTTCATTGAAAAAAAAAAAAATGTTTCCAAGGAGAGAAAGAACGTTTTTCGTTTTCAGTCAATTTACTGAGTTTTCAAATTGAAGAATTTGTAACTCTACCCTAGTTTCAAAATGTAGACTCTAGTTTGTATGTGAAAAAGCAACAGCGTCAGAAAGCATCTTATCACCGTTTCTTTTTTTTTTCTTTTTTTTTCTTATTCGAATAGGTGAGCCAGAAACTTTAGTGCAGCGAATGCTAATAGTCAAAGAAACGTGACTTCCTGTAGTTTGATATTTTAAAATCGTTAGTGTGGAGAACCTTACTGGTATCTAGATTGTGCAAGTACCGTAATGGCTAGAACCTAAACCGACCTCTTGGCAAAACTAGCTTGCGCAGAGAAAAGTAGAAAGGAAAAGAAAAGGAGTGGAGTTTCTTGAAAGGAATTCAAGGAAATTGAAACATGTCTAAATTATTCCGCTAAAAAAAAAAACGAAACAAATAACCCCCGCACTCTCGAAAGCTAGTGCAAAGAACTGCACAATAACGCGACCAAGAGTACGCTCTCAGAGTAAGAGAGTTGCGCAAGCAAACGCGCTCCTCTGTTTGCCAATTCCGCCATGGTTGGAGGGACCGCACAGGAGGTTACGAGCCATTGAACCCAATCTAATGCCATGCGAGTACCCCGTGACCTCCGGTAGGGACGCTGTGACGCGCGGAGCCTTTAGTCGCGTGATTCTTTCATAACGTTTGATTGGCTGGTTTGGCTCGTAGGACAACGTAAGATAACCTAAAATACATATAAATTTCTTTTTCGGGGGGGAAGGGGGGGGGGGGGGAGGGGGAGGGGGAGGGGAAGGTTAGCGAGACGGCTAGGATTTCCTTTTTCCTTCCCTTGTTGTCAAGTGACGTGTATGTGTAAAAAAAAAGGAAAACGAAAACGAAAAAGGGTTTGGGAGAAGAAGGTCTGCATAGGAAAATGTTCATTACCTGTTTGTTGTTGTTGTTTTTTTTTTTGCTTGTTCGTTCCACGTTGGTTTCACTTGCAAGAAATTTTGTAACTCGGCAGCTAATTGAGTTCGTAGGTAATGCAAACCTCGGTGTAACGAAGCGGGGTGGTATGGTGTAAGGGAGCGAACTTAGGGTTCCAAGAGCGTTAGACTTAATTAAGAAGGAACATGGAATAAATGACTAACGTAGCCTAAATAAAAATTAAAAAAACTCAGAACGTTCGGTACGAAAAGATAATATCAAGCCCCAATTAAAAATAAATTTCTATCCCCTACCATTATGTTGGTGGTCCTAGACTCGAGACAACCAGATCCGACGCTGTCGTTCTATGTTGGCCATGATATCGATGCTTAACTTTAAATCCAACTTTTAATTTGGGTGTTTGAACGTTTGTTTTACATTTGTGTAATGCATTGCATTAAACATACAAATAATCGGCACAAAAAAAAATTAGCACAAGCGATTAACAGCGGAAGCGGTAATAGGGACTTTTTCGTACACCGCGTTTCTCCCTCCGCTAAGCCCTCCGCAACGAAGAAGCCGCTACTGCGCCTGCGCGCCGGTGGCCTTGACTGTAGAGTTCCGGGAATCATAGCGGGTTGCGGAGAGCATTGCGGGACGACGAAAGCGATCTACGAACACTCCCTAATAAGGAGTTTTCGTAGACCGCGTTTCCCCTTCCGCTAAGCCCTCCGCACCGAAGAGGCCGCTACTGCGCCTGCGCGCCCATAGCCTTGACTGTAGAGTTCCGGGTATCGCAGCGGGTTGCGAAGAGTGTTGCGGGACAGCAAAAACGATCTACGAAAACTCCCTAATAGGGAGTTTTCGTAGATGGGTTTTCGCCGTCCCGCAACGGCTCTCCGCAACCCGCTACGATACCCCGAACTCTCGTAGCGGGTTGCGAAGAGTGTTGCGGGACAGCAAAAACGATCTACGAAAACTCCCTAATAGGGAGTTTTCGTAGATGGGTTTTCGCCGTCCCGCAACGGCTCTCCGCAACCCGCTACGATACCCCGAACTCTACAGTCAAGGCCATCGGCGCGCAGGCGCAGTAGCGCCTTTTTCCTCGCGGAGGGCTCAGCGGAGGGGGAAACGCCGGTCTACGAAAACTCCCTAATATCGCGGCGCTGCGTTGTCGGGAATACGCCGAGAACGAGAATGACCGGTCCGTTCCCACTTTTCAAGCTCAGGGATGCTCGTTGTAAGCCGCCAATGAAGTTAAAATGGTGAATACAAAAACGATATTACTGCTCTCAACGAGCAATTCTTTGGCGCACACTTATGCATGACCGACGAAAGCCTGAAGCATAAAAATAATGGTTTAAAAGCGCGCTTTGGGATCGTGTGTGGTGTCTGCCGACCTCCACCGGCTGCAAAGACGACACTTGCCAAGCAATCTTGTCTTCGCTGTGTTTGTGCGACCGCAGTGCCATATTGTCGGCCCTTCGCTGGCACGGCAGTCGCTTCTTTGTGCTAATGATTTTTAGCACCGACTGTAGCATCTGTCATCACAATGTTGTGAACTAGAGCATGAATGTAATTGTATTGTTCCACTGGTTGTTCTTTTTCCTTCCTTCCTGAATAGAATAGTTTCAGTAGACGACCGGATGCCCATCCTCATAGCCGTATTTTTCTACATTGTCGTCTACCACTGCAGGCTGGTGAGTTCAATACTGAACGTCAATCCACTTTGTGACAACACCTGTCTTGATTCGGTAATGTTGCAGGGAGACTTATGCTGCACATAAATTTATTCTGAATGAGGCCTTATTTTTGCCAAAGTATTGGAAGAAAATTAACGTTCAAGCGCTTTAAAGGGTAACTGCAAAGAAAAAAAAAGTGTTTTTTTTTTAAACAGCCTAATTGGGACAGGCATGTCACAAAACAACTCTTCCGCGAAAAAAACTATTTTTTGTTAGCAATATTTACGCCAGAGGACGTAATTTAGTCGGAGTCACAACCTCTCTACATTTGAAACTCCCGCTCTTTCGACGGGCGCGGAGTGGCTGGAAAACGTCATGGAGTGACGTATTCCAGCCACTCTGTGACGCATAATACCAACTTTGTGGCGCGCGATTTAAAACGGAAGAAATAGCCGCAAACTAAAATCAGTCCCGCGCAATAAATATTGTCGTAAAAATTTTGTTTTTGTTGGAAAAATTGTTTTGTGACATGCTTGTCCTAATTAGGCTGTTTAAAAATACACTTTTTTTTTCTTTGCAGTTACCCTTTAAAGGGTGCCGACTTTGAGGATTTTGACGTTTGGGTTGTATTCTTAACATGGGCGTCTCGATGGTATTCGCGCTGTTTTAGGACTATGACAGGAAGAGGCACATATATATTTTTTTATAAAATAAGCCAACTTCTGAACCCAGGAATTGCATTCTATAAAATGTTTGTAACATTGCGAGACTTGATTACATATCAGCATGCAAATAATATATGTGAAAAAAAATATGAAAGTGTCGGTAAATTCCAGTGAATTCAGATTGCATCCTGAATAAGTTGCTTAGAATGTCGAGTGTGTCTGTGAACATATTTCATGCTGTGGGAGATTACTTCTGAACTGTGTGTGCTCTAGTGCCTCTAATTTGGGAAGGGAGGAGGATATTTTCAGCCAAGTGAAAGTAATGATGCTGCTACAGTTAAAGTTAAGAATAGTGCTGTTAGGCTTTATTTCATTTTACTACCCAAGTGAGTTAATCAAAAATGTCAATCCTTTGTTATCTTTACAGACGGAAGTCACATCCCGGCTGGACTTTCTGTGGAAACGTCAGGCACAGACGAACCTTCAAAGCATGCGTGAAATCTGCAGCTACAACACGCAGCTCCTGCGCAACGTTCTTCCAGATCATGTCGCCACCTATTTTCTTACTCATGACCGGAAAAATGAGGTCAGTGAAAGCTAGGCCTACTTGATCATTGGTTCACAGTATTACTTTATGTATCTCTTTTCATGAAGCTTCACACTTTTTGAGACATTCCCACGTCTATGGAGACAACGTGTAAGAATTATCAAGGCGAATGTATACTCATACAGTCTCTCGGGTTTCTCTTAGTGGGAACTATGGCGCACTATGGCCCATCTCCCTCCTGCGCCGTAAACCCCCCAATTCATTTATTCACTCTTGTGCATGTTATTTACGGAGGCTTAATTGCGAAGAAGGCAACGTGTAACCCAGCTTTTGGTTGCACGTCGAAATATCCCGGGGTGGTCAAAATGATTCCTCAGTCCTCCGCTGGGGCGTGCCAGATGCCCTTCGTTGGTTTGGCACGTAAAAACATCAGATTTGTCTCTGACTTTGTGCACGCTCTTTTCAATACTTCGTGTTCTTCGTAGCTTAAATCGTCAATGAAAAACGGGAAGAACTCAGTTTCCTTAATTGCGGATATGGCCTATTATTATAACTGGATGCATATCCCCGATTGGAATACGCCAGCTAAGGCGAACGCTTGAAAAATATTTCGTGAATTTTAGGCAATTACTTTGCTAATTATATTCTCAATCTCGTGCCCCAATGTACGCCGCAGTGGTTAACAATATCCGGAAGAACCATTTGCTTATTTCAAGTGCTGTACTAAAAAAAATAACACCTTATTTATGCCAACTGTTCAACACGCTTTGACTCTAGCAGGTTTTTCGTGAAGTCTTTAACGTTATCATTGCTAAATTTGACTGCAGAATTTCCTTTACAAAATTTGTTTGCTTTCTTTACAGGAACTTTATGCCCAGTCATACGTCTGCTGTGGCGTTCTCTTTGCTTCCATTCCAAACTTTGCAAATTTTTACTCTGAGGATATTAACAACGGTGTGGAATGCATTCGACTGCTGAATGAAATCATATTTGATTTTGATCAGGTAATTTCAAATTTTGATGATTTAAATTATGCCAAGGTGTACAATTCTAGATTATTGTCTGGGTTTCGTTGTCTACAACTTTCAAACCGGAAAAAAAAAAATATGACTGATAACGGAATACAAAAGTATAACTCAAAGTTTCATCTGGCATCGCTACACTCGCCGCATTGATTTTTGGGAGAAAAACTGACGTCTTACCTCAAAATGGTGACTCATCAAGACAACGCAATGCGCGTGTTTCGGTTTTCGGGACAAAAATTAACGCAGCGTCATTACAAAGCTCATTCCAAAAACATTCACCTTCAGATTATGCTATTCGAGGTTGGTTGAGAAAACATTGAAAATACTGGCTTAAAAAAAAAAGCCAGAAGATGTAGCAGTTTTATGAAATATTAATCAAATCCAGGAAGCATCTTTTTTTTCATAAGTGTGCAAAAATAAACATGATGGAGTTCATTGCAGGAACGCAAACTTTTTTATCTACACTTTGATATTTCGGAGACAGTAATATTGTGCTATTTTCTGTTGAGGCCATGAAAGCCACACCAGTCATTTTATAACAGTTCAAGTTCAAGTTTAATATTAAGTTATATTAGTAAGTTTTGTCTTACCTATGTCTATGCCGCATTGAAGTTATCAGGTTAAGAAGTGTAGTTTGTGAGACAAAATTGTTTTGCATTTTTAAATTGACTGATCTTATGCTTCAAGGAATATTTGGTCAAGACTTCAAAATCATATCGTCTTTTACTGCCTTTTTATGTTGAATAACAAAATATCAACAATATATACAATTTCAGTGCTTTAAAATTTTTGTAATGTTTAGCAGCTTCAACAGTTAAACTTTTAGTGAGTTAAAACATTTTGGGTACTTAATGTGGAAGGGTAATAAATTTGATATATTTTAACACATGCTGTTAGGGATTAATTAATTGGCAGCGATCACCTTTTACCTGGGTGTAAAAATGAAACGGCGATAGGAATTTAGTGAACGTGACCCAGCCATAGTAATAAGAACAAAAACGTGTTCTCATTCTAAAGTTATGTCGTGTAAATTCACATATCGTTTTAACCTTTTTTTCGAAGCTGCTGGATGATGAGCGGTTCCAGTGCCTGGAAAAAATCAAGACAATTAGTAGCACATATATGGCAGCCTCTGGTCTCAACCCAAAAGATCAGGTAAAAATACCTTTCCTTAAACACTTTCTCATGTTTTCTGATATCATCATGAGGTATTGCTCAGCTTCAAAATATTTCAGGAAGTGCGATATGCCTTATAAGCATAAAGTTCAAGTTAAACATGATGCAGTTAAAGAAACACTGAATTCATACGAATTTTTAAAGTACCTGGATAGGACACGTATGTCACACACTTAACTTTCCCCAATAACTTTTTAGCACAATATTTACGTTGCGAGCTAGTCTGAAACATCTAAACTTTTAAGAAGAGCAATATAGTGTCACTTCTTTGTGTTTGGTTTTATCCCCTTTTTCGTTTATAAACCTATACATTTTATCATTATCTGAGCAAAATTTCCGTTTCAGCAATGATTGAAGCACTTTGAACACAGCATTGTGAACGAGGGTATTTATGAAAGAATCTTTTTTTTTTACATATTTGAATATCGAAATTTGTAAAGAATTTGGTATATGTAGTATGTTTATATTCTATCACAACGAAGTTATTTTTCTTTCCAGAATTTGTGCGCTTGGGTCCACCTTACCGCTCTAGTCGATTTTGCATTTTCTATGAAGGAAGCTCTCGAGGATGTAAACAAGCACTCCTTCAACAATTTCAAGTTGCGCGTTGGTAAGGTGAATTGTTTTACTTGATTTCTTTTTTAAATTATTATTTTAACAGAAATTCATACAAACAGATTTGGTTACTTAGCCTACACCAACGATGGGGTTGGGGAGGGGGGGAGGGGTAACGCAAGATCATTAAAACATATAGTTGACTGAACATTTATTTCGAATTTTGCGAGTGTAAAGTGGCAGCAAGAATACAAAAAATGAGTGGACCATAGGTCCATTCTTGTATGTACCCGAGACTTCAGTTACATATCTCTAGTATACATTTCTATCAAAGCAGCTAAATTTCAAAACACATATTTGTGATATGAATGATTTTCGGGGCATTTTTATCTACTAAGTACCACGATGAAAATTCTCGTGAAAACTTTTATGCAAATGTTTAGTTCTGATTTTCGTGTATATATTACATTTCAGTCTCTGAGGTAGGTAGGTAGGCCATATGTAGGCCTTTCACAACTCTCAATACGTTTTGTATGTAGCAAGGTGGGCATTAATCATTATCACAGTTGACTTTCACAGATAAACAAGGCAGATACAATTGTACCAAAATTATGGCCTATGCGTTTAGCACTGGCGTCTCTTCGCATTGTGCTCATAGCAGATAGCTTCAGACACCGACTTTGACCGTCCACGTTGGTTGCCGACAAGTAAATTAAGATATACTAATATTTCTACTTGCAGCCTTTTAGCTTAAGAAAAAACTCCAAAAATCCAAGCATAGCCTCAAATGCGCTAGCTGTGTCGCGTTCCATCACTCAAATGTAGTGCGAGTGCACCCGAAGATGCTTTCTTCTCGAGGTTTATGACACTGAGTAAGCTTAAAATTAACTTCTGCCTTGCTTCAAATTTACTTTCAACTTTTTATCCATCTCGCTTGTCCGCTGTGATCCCATTGTCAAGGATACAAATTGCTTACGATTCACAAAAATTTAAGCTCGACATCTTTTCATCTCATGAGTTTATGTTGAGTCTATGTGACTGGATGTCTGCGAACTAATCAATAATCAATTTTTGCATTATGATAATGTTGCATGACTTTTATTGATTTAACTTTGTTGTTTCTTGTATCTTTGGGATTTATTCCATGTATGTTTTTTGCACCACACTTTAAACCGAGAGGTTAGTGGGCACGAGAAAAATAAAACAATTTATTTATTTTATAAATTGCACGCCAAAATCTCAACAAGGCATCGGCAAAAAGATATTGACAAAGGCAAAAAGGCAGAGTGGTGAGAATGCCGAATGACGACATTGCTTAATTAATTGCGTTTTGAGATATATCGTCCTCAGCTATCTGGTCGAAGAACCTTCAGTGCCTACGTAGCTCAAGGTTTTCCTAGTTTAGTTATCTGTTCAAGTGTTTTTAAGGCACCTCTTTTCTGTGGCATCTTTGAGCAATAGGTCGAGTTTGAGAACTTATTAACCTGAAACCTATTTTGTCATTGTATGTCGAGAGAACTAAAGCACAATTTTTTATGCACATCACACACTAATGCCTTGTCTTCGTATGCATGTTCTGTGGATGTTAACCACGATGTCATACTCTGTGCTTGTTAATAGTGACGATGCCACCAATATGATAGTATTAATTTTAATGCAACCTAGCTATAACAAAAACGCTAATTCAGTGAAATGAATGCGGTAGTATAAAGGTTAATTAAGTAAAAAAAACTTGTAAGCGATTATTTCTGTAGTATTTATGTGATCGCGTTATTACCTTTTCTACCTCATAGTGTAAGTCGTTTGTATTCTACCGTAAATAATATACTCACAAGTTGTTGTTTTTTATTCTTACTTTTGTTCTTCATAACGTTTTAAAACTCTAGGCAGTGTGCTTCACTTTCACAACTGCTTAAAACAAAGATAACGTAGTGACAAGTAACACAGTTTCAACCTCAAACTTGTTGGTTGTTGCACAGTTGCAGAAACTTATGTCTGTTACGTCTAAAAAAAATAAAGTATGAATTCGCCAAACACCCGCTACTTCCACATTTGACAAATTTGGTGTTCTGTGCGAAGTTCGTGAGTGTAATATTGAACGTTCATACGAGATATGTTGCTGATGTTTCTCGTCAATCCAATATTGTCATGAACACTAAAACAGCAGCCGAAAGTCACAAAACACGACTGATTTTCAGGAATCAGTCACGGACCCCTCGTCGGTGGAGTGATCGGCGCCAGAAAGCCGGTATACGACATCTGGGGCAACACTGTCAATGAAGCCAGCAGAATGGACTCTACCGGATCCTTGGACCACATCCAAGTCCCCAGAGCCACGGCGCAACTTTTAGAGGAGCACGGCTACAATGTCCAGTACCGCGGCCCCGTCCAGGTCAAGGGCAAAGGGACCATGGAAACCTACTACGTCCTCGGCAAGAAGATAGCCCGGGTGCGATCCATGAACCGTCATCCGAGCACCAGGAGTACGCTGGCGGCCTTCGTGTACGGACTAGTGCAAGCGCGGAAGAAGCAGGCCCTAGGTTCAAGTCTTAGTGTTCCGAGCCCGAGACAGAGGACTTCGCCAAACTCGGGGTCGTTCATCAAGAAGCAGAAGCTACACCGCATGCTCTCTGAGACACCCAACTCGGACCGCAAGCGCAACAGGCTACGGGAACGAAGGATGACCGAGACAGCCGGAAGTAGTCAGTCATTTCCGGACATGAGAAGTGCCGACCGTGATGAATCGTTTACCTCGCCGTGAGGACCGCCGTGTTGGTTTGTGCTATGTGCTTGGTGCGCGTGTTGGACGGAACAGTTTCGCATTTTCACCGCTGCGCTGTGACCGACCACTGGCGCAAGAACTCGTGTGGAATAGGACATGGTGAGTTAGCCGCGGGGACGGCTTGTAATATATATTAAGAAAACTAAATTTTATGGTTTCTTCACTTGCTGCCAATTGAGATTCGCCTGTTTAGGTATGTTCAAGACCAGAAATTGTTAATTGCCCCGAACGCCCTGTGGTGGGACACTATGCTAAAGACATTTTCGGTGGCAGGACGGGGACAACACCAACAAACAGAATGTGATTTTTAATGTACTGCGGTGTGTATATAAGAACAATTTGGAGGGCTGTCTGTCCTGACATAAATTAAACAAAAGCATTGCAAAAACCTTAAATTTCAGTTGATTCCACTGGAAAACATGTGATGTGGACCCTTTAAGGGTGCAACATTGCCACCACAACCGCCATCAAAAAACAATTTTCTTTTGATTTTTTTTTTTTTTATTTAATTACGGACGTGAACCGAAATGCGGATTTTTTTAAAAAAATGCAGGAGATGTAGGCGGGGCTACAATCCCTACAACACTACTCATAAGGCAATATCTCGAATGGACGACCGTATTTTTTTTTTTTGGGGGGGGGGGGGGGGGGGGGGGGGGGGGAGGAGGTCGAGAATGAAGCAGGCCGACGAGGCACGTGACCGTGAAGATATCTCGTTTCATCCTCTCTCCACTTTGTCCCCTCAAGGCGGTGAAGACGCGAGGCCGTTCCCTCTCCTTCTCGGAGAAACATGACGTGAACATTTCTGTCAAATGTGCCTCTTTTTCTGAAAAATACGGTCATCCGTTCGAGATATCGCTGTATGAGAGATGTTTTGGTGTTTGTAGCATCCCGGCTGCACGCTTTTGCCGCGTGTTTTGTGGAATCCAGATTTCGGTTCAGCATCCCTTTAAAGGCATGATAAACCGAAATTTGGATTTCAAAAAAAACAATGCAGGAGATGTAGGTGGGACGCTACAATCCCTACAACACTACTCGTAAGGCGATGTCTCAAATGGACGGCCGTATTTTTAGAAACAAAGGTCGAGATTGAACCAGGCCGACGAGGCGCGTGACGTAGAGATACCTCGTTTCCTCTTCTCTTCGCTTCCCTCCCTCAAGGCGGTGAGGCGGAGAAGAAGCGAGGCCGTTCCCTCTCCTTCTCGGAAAAACATGACGTGAACATTTCTGTCAAATGCGCCTCTTTTTTTTTCAAAAAATACGACCATCCGTTCGAGATATCGCTACACGAATGATGTTTTCGTGTTTGCCACATCCCGTTGCACGCTTTTGCCGCCGTGTTTTGTGGAATCCAGATTTCGGTTCAGCATCGACGCTTGACGTCTGAAAGGCTGCCCCGACGGAGTCACAAACGAAACTACGATACACAGACGCCAAACTCAGTTGTTTTGACCGTTTGACGATTTCCTTTTCGAAGTCTGAGAGGTCGTCGGGCACCTCAAAAACACCACTTCGTCCGATTCTCCGACTCACCGATCATCCTCTGCTATGTGCGTCAAGCGCCGCCATGTTTTCCGAGGGACGATACAAATCCAGGAGGCGACATCACACCGGACTCCGGTTTTTGGCATTTCAAAAAGAAGGGCCGTAGTGCGTGCGCAAGTGCGTTAAGAAATATGTTTTACGATTGCCGTTATTCAAAGTTATAGAAATGTCGCTTACAAAGCTTTTCAATCTCATGATTTTTGACATCACAAATCAAAAGAAGCGAGAAGGTGAGAAGCGGGAGAGAAAAACGCCAAAAAATAAAAAACGCGCGCGCGTAAAATTTATTTTTTTTCTTTCTTTTTGCGATGCGTTTTTTTGCGTTTCTATGACTACAATTTGCATCGTTTTAGACACTAAAAAGTACGACCTTTGGTGTGTCAGTGCCCCTTTAAATGCATTAAAAATCCAGAAAAAATGATCATATTCTTGTATGTTTTCCGTATGTTCTTGGTAGCATTTGTAGATAACTGTTATTATCACTACACCTTATGCTTTCTACTTTTTATTGTGCAGATGCTTCACTCATGAGGACTACACGGAAGCTCGGGTCCTAAGTGAAGTGATGAACAAATTGGAAACTCACCGGTCCATCGTCCTACCCCTATCGCAGCCCTTCCATCTTTGAAGAGTGTGCTGATTCGTTTTATTTTCACTGTCATTAAAACACCTACGATCGGAACGATGCAGCCTCAAGCAATGATGTACCGAAATGCTGGTCTTTGAAGAATACGAATGAAAGGGTTTGCGTGAGTCAGAACCGGCGACTTAAAGGGGCCCTGCAATCCTAATTACGCGTCTACCTTTTTTTGCGGTTTCCACGTCTCTTGTGATTCGGGCAACCCAGCGGGCACGGAGAGAGAGTAACTAAATATGAGTGTGTCATATTTTAACCTGATGACGCGAAAACCTCCTCCTCCTCCTCCTCGCCCCGTGGTGTGGAATGCGCACGGCATGTGACGAAATCGTGACGTTGTTGGTCCTGACGTCAGCCGAGGAGAGAGAGCTGCCCGGGAACAGGGCAGCTCTTTCTCCTCGGCCTCACCTCCTTTCCCCGTCTTCCCCTCCCTCCCCATTAGGGGTTTCCCCAGGAATTGAAGTTAGGGGAGGTTGTATAACTTTTTAGGGGGGTTAGGGTGGGGCATTGAGAATAGAGGAGTTTTTGTGAATTAATGGGGTGTGCCTACGAAAAAACAAAGAGGGGTTACACCCCCGTAGAGGGAGTGTAGGGAAATCACTGCTCCCCACATTCTTCAGTCGCCGCGGCAAGGGGAATCCTCCGGCGCGGGAAAAAGGCAAGGGGGGGGGGGGGGGGGGGGGGGGGGGACAGAGGACTAAGGACGTCATGAAGGAGGTTCTTTTTTGCTTGTTTTTGTAATTTCAATATGCTTATAGCTTTTAAAATAAAGCAAATTTCGAGAAAAGAAAAGGTTTACGAAGTGACTACGTTCAGCGTGCTCAGGTTCGGTGGCAAATTAAAAAACAGTAAAAAAGTCGTTGCAGGGCCCCCTTTAAGCATTTGTCTAAAGACAGGCTTAAGCAGTTCAGACACAAAGCAAGCATAAGCAGTTACCATTTATGGCAAGCGTTAATGAAGAGGTGTCTCAAGATGGGGTTGTATGCTTCTGGTATGTTCTGGTCAAGAATTCTGCATACGCACTACTCGGTCGAGTGCGACAAGTGTTCAAGTGCAACAAAATCACTGCTAAGACACATCTTTGTTCGAAATTACGAACTTGTGTTGACGAGATCAGAGAGGTGTTACAAGCGCTTTCTTCGTGTCACTTTCGCTTTATGAGGCCCTGCCTATTTTCTTTTATATAAGTTCGGACCATTCTAGGCACCGGGAGAAAAATAATATGGCTCAAGAGCAACCAGGAGACTCGTGCGTCATTGACATAGGCGTCATCGAATGCCAGATTGTCGTGTTTTGTCCCGCACGTAATCCGTTATGTAAATAATTATTTCGTTAAAAAAGCAACCACAGATCGCTCAAATTTGGTCCGCATGGAGCTAATAAAAAAGCTCAAGGTACACCTAAGCACTTCTTATGAGTTGTGAATGCGAAAGCATACAAGCCGCTCGTCCGCTCCCTTTTTCGTCTGCTGTGTACTTTTCGTCGCCGGTCAGCGTGCGTGCTCTCCTGGGCACGCTGACCTTGGACGCTCCGTGTTAACGGCGCGCTGATGGACACGCAGCGCCATGGGGTAAGCGGTCGTGGAAACTGACGAGCGCAGCGGTCAATGGGAGCCCCATCGATGCGCGCCAGCCAATGGAACCGAAGGCGAAATCCATCAGCTTTACTTCGCTCCTTTGGAATCGGGGAAACCAGGTGCCGTTTTCGCGCTTCAAACTGATGACGTCAGCTCGCTCCATGGGACAGTTAATGCGTTCGCATTAATAAAGCATACCTATAAAAGGCTCGAGCTACACCTAAGCACTTCTTATGAGTTGTGAATGCGAAAGCATGCACGCCGCTCTTCCGCTTTTTTTTTTTTTTTTTTTGCGTTGATGGTTGAGCGTGCGCGCTGACGTTGGGCGTGGAGCGGTGGAGCCGCTGCCTCGCGGACACGCAGCGCCATTGGGTGAGCGATCGTTGAAACTAACGCGCAGCGGCCAATGGAAGCCTCGTCGACGGGCACCAGCCAATGGGACCGAAGCCGAAAAATCATCAGCTTTACTCCGCTCCTTTGGGATCGGGGAAACTAGGTGCCGTTTGGCTAGGCTTTTCGCGTGGTCTCATAGCTGGGAACTGACTTCACTTGGAGAAAGGATTTAAGGTGCCATTTGGCGCGGTTCCAAAGCTGATGGCGTCGGCTCGCTCCATGGGACAGTTAACGCTTTCGCATTAAAATTAAAGCTCACTTTGGCAGAATAGTTAGTGCCAACCGGGGTGACGTCTCGAAGCGAAACCTGGCGCTTAATTTTGCATCCTTTAGGTAGCAGGTAAACACGTCCACTTCAACTTCTCTTTTTTTTCGGAAGATTCTTACCGACATTTATCAAATTTTACACACGCAAAGTGTATATAGGTCACGGTAACTCTCGGTGAAGTTTGAACGTACTCCGACTGCTTGTTTAGGAGATCGACGGCGCTAGACAGAAACTGTCGCATTTTTCCCCGCGTCTCATTACCCTATATCAGAGTTTGTTTTGTTTCGGTAATACACTCCGAAAGTGTGCAGCAAGATAAGTCATGAGCAGTGCTCTCTTTCCGCTTTAATCAGTAGTATTCGTTAAGTTACGCTGTGATTCAACAACAGTATATGTCTGAGAGTCGTACAAAAACAGCTTGTCATCCATAAGCAATTGATCAAAAACTAGGTGCGCACGCATATGGGTAGTGCGGTGGGCTTTTGCGCAGTTCCAAAGCCTCCTCCGAACTTCGCGTACCATGGGGGGTGGTCGTTTTCAATCCATACCATAGGAGAAGCCAGGTTTTCAGGCTGTGCGAACATTTCGAGAATTGTTTGCTTGTTTTTGAAGTTCAGGAACTTTACAGTGATGGGGCGAGGAAAATTTGTTCTTTCTACATGCATAGTGTGCCCCTTCAATTTCACCCGACTTGGATCACTTGAATGAAATCCAAGTGATCCAAGTCACAAAGTGACAAAGTCACAAGTGACAAAAAATATTTCTTCAGTTCTAGTCCACGTTTCCCTGGGCTGCTCTGGAGTAACTTTGAATGCAAGATTAGTTCGCCTCATGCGGTTGACAAGAGTGTCTAAGTCGCTGGCTAGACTTTGCGTTGCTTCGGTGTTGAAGGGCATTGAGTCTACTCATTCCTCGAGCGAGTGTAGGTCTCGTGAGACCCTAGTAACTGCCTCTTTAGTTGCCGAAAGTTCTTGAACCTTTTTTTCAAGGCCTTGTGACCCTTTCGCTTAGTTCCCCAAATCCCACAGTGATCGCACTAAGCCTTAGTAGTCTTTCTTGGTGATTTTGTTCAGTCTTTTGAAGGACGGCATCTAGCTTTGCTCGCAAGGTATCAAGGGTTGCCTTGTCGGGAGTGTCAGTGGGGCCGGGGTTTACCTCCACGTCTCTATACAAAATGATAAGTGAACACAACCATGCTAGTGAGAACACAACTCTGATCGGTGGTAACACAGCGAAAACTCGTGGCGAAAATAAAAATTATTTCAATTTCCCGCTACCGCGGGTGCGAGCACGAAGAAAGCATGGATCCTATCTAGCTCGATAGACAAAAATATCGACACCCATGATTTGATTGACACACACTGTTCAACGGATCTCAGAACACTGGGATTTGACGCCAAGCAAAAAGAAACTTTAGCCTATGAGTACGTACTCTTACTGTGTGTATAAATGCGAGATTAGCTTTCCAGCCAAGCAGGCGGCCGCAAATCCCAGTCGATGAAGGCTCGCCGTGACTTTTGTACTACCACGCTGAACACGTGACAAAGGGACGTAGATCCGGCTGAAGGCTAAAATCCGTAAGGCTTGAAGCAGATGAAGCAAGTACAAAGTCGATATCGTATCCGACGGACAGGCGCCGGATATAAGCGACTGCCACGTAAAACCGAGACAGCACCACTTCGCAGTGATGCAGACGCTGTGCTTCACTTCGGACAAAAGAAAGCTGGGTGATGCTGCTAGTGTATAAATGCGAGATTAGCTTTTCAGCCAAGCAGGCGACCGCAAATCCCCCATCGCATTCTATAATATAGCATTTTAAATAATAAAGATAACAATAAACATACCTACTTTGCTGTTCAGCAGCGTTTGTAGACAAGCCCCACAAAGTTCTCACTGGGTGCTGGAAGGACGATTCGCACCTTCTCGTCGCTATAATTTGTTGCAACCTAATTCTTTATTCTTTCTTTCTTGTGTCCAGGAACAGCCAAAGCCTGAATGCTGGTACACACAAATACACTCTTTGTACAAAAAAGGAAACACAAAAACATTGATCCTAATCTGAATGCCCTAAGCTGAATGCTTAGGGCATTTTCAAACAAGCTTTTCACTATCGAAGTTATCAACTTCGGCGCTGAGTATATTAAAACTATTTTTAATACGCAACATGGGGAAAAGTGAACAAAGGTCTTGCAAAGAGAACGTGTTGGGGTTGCGACTGCTCACGCGTGGAACAGACAAAGACAGCAGAGACACATGCACGGCTTTGTGCAAAAATACATAATCTCGAAAATTGTGCCGAGCTACTAATGTCTGCAAATTCATCCTGTGTAAGATCGACTCGTGACTAAAAAAAAAAAAAATCCGGCAACCTTAATAGTGGTCGTACACAATACGTGCCAGCTTCCTCTGAACATGTTCTAACCTCTCAGAGCCTGCCACACTCAAGCAGTTCCAGACCACGGAGCCGAACTCACGTTTTGAACGCACAATAGAAATGCAAGGCACGACAAGACACGAGGGCTCCTTGAAATCGCGGGTCATTCTCGAAAACAAACCTAAAAATCGGAAGCATGAACTCACCAAATTAGACAAATGTGCATCGATACTGAGGGTGGAATCCACATAGACGCCCAAACCCCCCACACAATCCTCTCGACGTAATCGTTCATTATTTTGCTTATACAAAAAATTGAGAACACATTTTTTGCGCAATAAAGAAATGACAAATGTTTTTTTTTTTTTTATTATTATTTAAACACGTTTTGCATCTCACACCCTAACGAGAGAGCAGATATGTCTTTTTGCAAAAGT